TAGCACAGGCTGGGCAAACCCTCCCATCCTGCAGACAATACTGGGGGTGGGGCTGGGCTGCATCAGCCCAGCCCAGCTGCAGGGACAAACAGAAGTTAACAAATGCACTCCCCTTTCATCTAAACCTTCATTAAATAAGGGTTAATTTGTCACATGATTAGGCACTTTTAAAGTGCTCTGCAGCTGTGCCCTTTTGTCAGGGCATGACTGTAAAGCACTTTCTAGGGGCCAGTCATGCAACAAATATCACATCTGTAAGCATCCTACCTTAATGCAGTAATAGCATGCAGTGGGATGCAAGCAACAATTATGAGCTTTTCTTTAACCCCATATCTTTTGAAAGCACAGAAGAGAAGGGAACACATCACTCAGTTATTTTTATTTACCACCAGCGGAGGGGTAGATACAATTTTTAGCTATGGGGCAAAATGTTAGTTGGGTAGGTAACTCTTTCAGCAGTTGATAACTGGATTCAGAATTGATTTCCAGTGAGGACTGTAGAATGTTGTACGACTGACCCTGGAATCTCCTCGCGTATCATGATTTTTGTGTTCCTTGCAGCTTTTAACTCCTTGGAGAGGCAAACTGTTACAACAGCAGCCAAAATCTTGTCTTGTTCATGGTAACTGTTTGCTGGTGCTGGAAAGAGCCCCAGTTGATACCAATAGTAGTATGCTACATTTCTGTTTTAAAATTATACCGTGTCCTTTTTAGACACTATTCAACCTTTAGTTTCCCAGGGCATAACTAATTTCTGAGGCAGCATGTGATCTTCTGGGACTTATTTTTAGAAGGGAGGGAATTTGGAACTGGAATGTCTGTTTTCTGATGTTGATTAATGTATCTATTTATCAACCAGGGTAGTCAATAGCTGAGGCGCATTATTGTTAGTTGCGTTAACTCACTCTGAATACAAGGCTGTCACTTGTTTTTATCTACAGTGAAATTTGCTTCTGTGCAGAGGGCTAGGACAACAGGAATAGTGTCATCCTTGTCTCGCCAGCCTGCAGCTCTCATATCCACCAACTCTATACTATCCCTCATGCAGGTTTCCTTTAACGGGCATCTCCTTGAAAAAGGTTTCTCTTTGTGCTGTTTTGTATACAGTCATTAGTAGCCCACAACCTCCCACATTATCTGCACGTGCAAATTGGACTTTGGCCATTCAACATGTGTTTTCCAATATTGTTTACACCAAAAAAAATCCAAGCTTGAACCAAAAGGTAATTGGAAACCAACCAGCCACTATGCCCATAAGAGGGGAGTACAAGGGCATGAGTCCTCCCAGATAACACTAGTTATAAATATTATGAACTTTTGCATCTGGTGTGCATACATACTTGCCGTAGAATTGTTCTTTTCTGCTCTTCTGAAGTTGGGACAAACGTAACCATTATGTGACAGAGATTTCAGCTGTTTCAAGAAGGGCTTCATTAATTAGAAGAGCTTCTCTTGGCATTGACATGTACCAAACATTCAGTGACTTATAAAGTACCTCCTTCACCTCACAGAGTCTGGAGCAATTTGACTACTTAAAATCCTGGAAGATGTTCTAGTAAGTGTTGAAGGGATTACCGCTTCCTCTGGCGATGAAGGAAATAGCAAATGGTACATGAATGCCCTTATATTGTGGGTTTTCTTCCTTCTTAGAAACTGTCTGGCTGCTGAGCATCCTAAGTAGATGCCTGAGGCTGCAGTATTCTCCTGAATGGCTCCATCTCTCTGTGGTGGTGCAAAAGTGGTATGCCCACAGCCCCCCATGGGTTCCAGCAGGACCATGCATAAACATTACAGATTTGACAGAATGGTCTGCTAAGCATAGGGGAATGTTGTTTGGCCCATTTTAGAGATAAGGAAACAACATTGTGGTACTTTTGCAAGGTAAGCATATTCATTGAGGTTAGCAAAATATGCTGATATCTTTGTTTGTAATGTTGAATTCAAGTGCAAAGAATTATTTTTCCTATCAAATCTTACCCCATCAAATAGTACAGCATTCTAGATGCACAAAAGACATTGGCCATTTCTGACCCATACCACCAGAACATCATGCGGTATTCTTTGGAGTCTAGCTCTCTCATGAGCAGTCTAGTGTACTTTAACCTATTTAAAAATCACTCTCGGTGCAGTGGGATGCCATATTATACAGGTGCACTCACATTTGCATTTTGCAGATAAGCAGAATGTCGTAAGTAGGCGGTACACAACTATCTTAAATGGTTTTTTGCTCATGAATGATACATAATTTCAATTTAAAAATGACTCAGAATTTGCAACAAAACATACATATCATATGAGTCATTGGCACCATCCCTCTGAAAGATTTCTATAATAATGGAAATTTGTCTGACTTATATAGTTCACAGAGTTTTGATTATGGCTGTTCTAAACAGTCCTCTTTATTCCCATGTTGTGCCTTAAATGAGCAGCAGCTGCCACTAGCTATTTGAGTTAGTTGTGTAAATTCTCGATATATAAAATTCACTCACGTGCTGGGAGCAAACAACCCTCTAGACAATAGAAAATTTCCTGACTTTAATGTTTTGTAAAACCCAGCATGATATAACAATTAGGAGCCAGATTGTTAATTTCTGCTTGCCGTTACCATAAATGTGCTTGTGAAATTGTGTAACTGTGGGCAGATGCTAATCACATGTACTGCATGTGCAATCACTAGGCATGAATAATCAGAGGAATGGCACAATGAAATTAGGCACATGATTGTATAACTTGTTGGAAAGTCAGACGTCTTGTCTGTGTTTAGGTAATAATCATTGCACCCTTCCAAGAATCAGATCTTCTGAATATAATTCTACCATTTTGTATAAAAATGCCCATGTGCTTTCATTATTTAATGTTGTATGCCAACATCATGCTTAGTTGGAAATGTGCCACTAGTCAAAGATGCATGCTTGAAGAGCTACATAAAAATACGTGATTACAAGAGCACAGCTGGCTACATACCATAAGCTAGACGCTAAAAGTCTCCCTAAGACCAGGTCTCTTTTACTTACTGTTTATTAACAGGACTTCTAAAAAAAATAAAGCAGTACTGGTGAGAGAGATATTACCACTGCATATTGCGATATTCCAGGTGTTAATTTACAGTATTCTTTTTCTAATGATCCTTTCAACCGCTTTGGGAGGTCAGGCATTAGTGCAGCAGTAGGCAACCCCTAGCATGGGTGCCAAAGAGTGGTATAAAAAGGCATTTTGTTTTGCACACGTGCCTCAGGGCTGGGCTGCGCTGCCACAACAAGGATTGAGCCCCTTGCAGCTTCCCCGCTATCTACCCCTGGGCTCTCATGCCAACATCTTGCAAGTTGAGGTTGCGGGTGTTTTTGGCACTCTGCCCAAAAACAGTTTTCAACCCCTGCTTTAATGGATTGTAATTTTCCAGATGTTAACCCAGTGCCTTTAAAAAAAACAAACCCCAAACTGCAATATTTGCTCTTCTCAAACTGTCTTTCACCTTTAAAATGTTTGGTTTCTAACTCCTCAGTCTGGTAACTTGTAGCTTTTTAATTTACCTGTTAATTTTATTTATCCAGAACTACTACTACTGTTGACAGCCAAGGGTCTGTCAGATACTCATCTTTACTGCTGGAAATCTTTACACTTGCTCTGTCTACAGATCAGAGACTCCCACTAGGTATCAAAATAAACCTTAGAAGTTGCATCACTAATTATTTTTTAAAAAAGGAAAAAAGAAAGAAAGAAAAAAAAAAAAGAACCATTTCACCCTAAGCATCCTCAGTGGGATGCAGACCCCATTCCTTGATTGTATAAAATGTTCGACAAAACAGAAACAATTCCAGGCCTTGTTTTTGGGGAACTCACTTGGAGCCTTGCCTTTACAGTTTGGATGATATTTCTAAGTGCAAGAAGCAAAAAGATTTTGCTTAGGACCTGATGATTAAATATGCCTTGCATACTTAGTGCAGTGTTATGACAACTCCACATTTTGTAAGCAGCTGGATAGTTACTTCAATTTTTAGATGAAATGGGTTGTGGTTTTATTTATGAGTATTAATGCTTGATTAAACATAGGTCCTAATTCACTAGTTGTCCAAATAAGTCCTTCAGCCTGGTGCACGGGGAAAATGTTAGCATTTTCGAGACTGAAAGGCTAAGGCTAGCCAGAACCATATACTTGTGGCCCAATTTGCACACTTCTGTACACAGACACATGGCTATATTTATGTAAAACCAATTTTCTATATCATGAAGTGGGAGTTGGTTAGAAGATTTAAAATCCCAGTACCAAATCATTGCCCCGCCTCCCAGCTTCTCCTTACAGATCGCTTGTTTTCTGTATATAGGTTTTTACTGCATTGAATACTAAAGCTGAAAAAACATCTTTAAAAACACAGTGTCAGATGATATAAATATTTTATCTTGATTAAAATGTGATACATTCATAAATATATTTGCACTGTACGACCTTCTGTTTTCCAGCATCTCTCTATGCTTACTTCTTATGTTTGTGGGTCTCACCTGAAAAAGAGGAACAAATGAACTAGAGTGGACATTTCACTCTTGGCTTGTGGTACCAGTTCTGGAACTCACTGGTCTCAGCTTTCTAGTCCTGGAGGTCTGTACCAAGTTATAAGATGGTTCCGTGTTACCCAAACTAAGGCTACTGCACTCATTTGTACTTTTGACACCCGCATAATTTCATTTAACCTGTGAAAAATCTCTTGCAACAGCCAGTACTTTCTTACAAAGTTGTTACACTTCAGGTTCAATCATTAAAGGCATTTATGTTTACAGATCCAGATGAAGAAGCTCTATGCTGACTAAAAGGGTGAAGAAAAGGTCAAAACAAGATTTCACTGCTGCATGCTTTCACTGCTGGTGGCGTTCTGCCCTTTTCCCCATTTTATAAACTAGTAACCATGAAAAAAACCTACATTACTTACCCCATAACAACTTTGTTAGCTTGTCCCCAAGGAAGTAGAAGCCTACCATTTCTAAGTAGCAAGTGAAAAAAAGCAGTGCCTTTCCAGCTCTGCCTAGCACTTCTAAAATTGGGTATACCCAAATCCCAGAGGCGTGATTTACCCATATTATCCTAAAATAAACAAAACAGAATTAAAAACATAACTAGAAATAAACAGAACACATTTTTCTTATGATTACAAAGCTACCTTTGTTTATTTCTAAAGATATGTGGAAAATCTCAAGTTTAATTCCTTCTTAAGTGCAGAAGAGCATTAGGCAATTAGTTCTTTTCAAACAAACATTTTTAAAAACTATTACAAATCTGCAGATAATAAAGAGTGTTACTTGGATTTGTTTTTGCTTATGGTAATTGTTAGGATTATTTTTATTATTAGCATTATTGTAGCATCTAAGGGTCCTATTTATGGGCTAGGACTCCATTAGTGGAGTGGAAGAAGACTAGTGCTTGCAGAGTGTTTTGAGATCTTTGACGGAAGTCTCGTGAGAATTGTATCATCATTTATTAACAGTAATAATTATTTCAAATTCTCCAACAGCCACAGATAACGTGTTTAGAAAATGGGAGTTTATTATAAAATTATTTAATGAGGTTTATCTTTTTTACGCGCAGGTAAGAAAGATAACCGATTATGGCTACCGAGGCAATATGCAAAGTGACAAACAACGTTGGAAACAAGAGAGATAAGTGGATGCAGAAGCATGTTATCCTTGAGCAGGTGCTGATGGAAGCTATGTACGCACGAAACATTGATGGGTAAAATTAATGGAAGCATTTACATGACATTACCCAGAACTGTGTGGCTAGTGTCAAAGTTTTGACTTTTCCCTGTCTCCTGCAATGCCAGCTGAATCTCCTACATTTTCAAAAGTTTACCTAGAACAAGTTCCTGAAAACAATGATAGCAATCGTCATGTTCTCTCACAGGTGACCAACTGAAGTCTCTAAATGCTACAGTGGCACCAATTACATGAATTTACTGCTAGTGTTAAAAAATGGAGCCTAAATGGAGGTCATTACTGATTCTGCTGCTGTGATCCCTTCCTACGATCCTACGTATAATGAGTAGCAGTTGCATAAAGTAACTTATACTTTTTCACTGGAATGAGTTTAGACAAGTAATGAGCCATGCCAGTTACAAATAGGTGCCATACAGGGAATTTTACAGTATGACCAAATATGTTTGCTTGTGGTTTTCTTTTTACATGTATCAACACTTAGAGTGCATACTGCCTTGTCATGTAAATGATGCACTGTTCTGAAATAACAGCTACTACACTGGAAATCTTTGCTGTTTAAGAGAAGCTATAATGCCCCGTTTTGTTTTTGTTGTTTTTTTAATACAGATGCCCCACTTGCCTGCCATGAGACTGTTACACACGCGGAAGAGAAAATCCAAGCACCAGAGGAACAGAGACATTATGGTGGGGAGAAGATACTACAAGGGTATCAGTTTGCAGACATCCAGTCAACCAGAGTACCTGGAGAGCAGATTTCTAGAGACAAGGCTGTGACTCAGTCGCATGGAAGCGTGTGACTGAGGAAAAGCTAGAGGAAGAATCCAACTAGTGTGGGAAGAAGAGCCAAATACTAGATTTGCCATACTGGGTGGACAAGAAAAAAAAAAAAAAAAAAGAGCAAGCATCTAGACTCGTAAGAAGAGAGGAAGGAACAAAGGACACCAGAGCGTGAGGAGTAATGAGAACAATAAGCAGAAGACGAGAAAGAGAAGGAAGGCTGATCTGTACAGAGAACTGAAAGAAAATGCCAAGAAAAGTAGGTCTGTGACCTGGGGACTCCTGTTAGGGAAACATTAATAAAGAAAGAAAAAAACAACCAAGTCCTATGAAGAGAGTAAATCCAGAGAACTGGGAGGTGTGATATCTGCCGAGAGCAAGGATATGAGATATGGATTGGTCTGAAAAGCATTCTGATGGTAATGTAGAAAAAAACATTGATTTTGATGCCACCAAATTTCTGCTGGAACAGATCAAGGATGATTACATCAAACTAGGGAATGCTTGAAGTAATGGAGGTTCAGGTGATCTTCGATGGAAGAAAGAAGACAGATGTCTTGCTTTCTTTCTTAGAGAAAGAAGGCAAATGTATGACAGGATAATGAATGAATATCAAAACAGTCCAAGGACGGATGACAGTGGAACATTTTGGATGTTCACTCACTCGGAGGCATTAAAGTTAAGAGGACTCTTCTCAACACATGGCCTCCTCCTACATCCCTGGGGCACTTCCATGATCCAGGCTGATAAATGCAAACAATAGGTTTAAGCTAAAAATATAAAAATAAAGTTGGAAAGTGTGACGTAGCCTCTCCCTCCACCCCCCCCTAGTTTTAATATACAGCTATACAAAAATCAGGTAACTGGGAATACGTGAAGGACTGGCAGAGGGTAGGCCAGATAGACAGCAAGGAGCAACAAAGTACTAAGTTTGCGGGGACAGAGAGTTTGGCAGACAGACTTGGACAAAGGACTGTCTCTAATGCGACTAGGACAGTGGTTCCCAACCTTTTCAGACAGTGGTCTGGCAAACTGCGGACTGGAAGAAGCAGCCAACCATCCTGCAGACTGGCAGCCAACCGTTCATGGCCTGGTATTGGGCTGCAGCCTGGGGGTTGGGAACCTCTGGACTAGGAGACATGAGTGTGGTAAATGAGAAGCAACTGAAGCGTTTATACACTAATGCAATGAGCCTAGGCAACAGGAGGGAGAAACTCAAACTGTTAGTGCAATGTGAATGCTGGATAGCAAAAGAGATAACAAACGCATTGTTTTTATAAACTGCATGGCTGAGAGAACTGATTACACATCTACAAATGAGTTTAAAAATAAACAGTTACAGAAATGTTACAAGTGTTTGTCTATTTTATTGGATGTAAAAATAAAAAAAAAACAAAAAACCCCAACACTTCAAAATACTGCAATTTACAGGCCTTATAGAACAACACAGTATCACAAAAGGCTCATTCACCAAGCTGCCAAAGGGTCTTACTGGTGCAGTTAATTAAACGTTGCTACTGAGTCAATGAATTTTTTCAGTTTCTAGCTCTGCACTCTCTGTACATCATCCCCGAGTGAGTCCTTATTTCCATCACAGCCATGATGCCAAAAAGAACTAAAAGTTCCACAAGCAGGAGAATGCTACAAAGCTTCTACACAAAAAATTCCTTCCTTCTGTATATCCCCATGTTATCCAAACAGAGGTTTGGGAATTGACCCTCCCTATTCTGTCAGGTAGGGAGCGGTGGAAGCAGTGTCAGAAAGCAGTACTGGCAAGGAAACATGGGAGAGCTTCTAGGCCTCTGCAGGCCATTACTGTAGAAAGAATACTCTGATACAAAGAAATGAATCCGGCTGAATATGGCGTTATAGTTATTGTTTAGTTCTCAGCTTTTTCGTGTTGCAAAAATTCAGGCAATAATGCATGAAATAAACATATGGAGTGTGTTATGTTAAGGTGTGTTATCAAATGCTGTAATTATACTGCAGCAGTCCCTGAGAAGACCTTTTTCTATCTTCAGTCTAAGTATTCCAATGATATCTTTTGACTGTGATTTGCTACTCTAATATCTGCTCTTTTAATATTAGACTACTGCACTGTATCCCACCCAGAGATACATCTTTAAGCAACTAGAAACTGAAGCAACAAGGATATTAGTACTCTAAATCCTCTCTGGAAAGCAAGAGGCAGCTCATTCTGATCCTAGAGCAGTGCTGACTATGAGTTTTAGTATCTGAACTGGTTTGGGATCTGTGTTTTTAAGAGGCCACTTCTCTGGCATTATTACCATATTTAGTGCAGAAGTTTGAGTAGAGCTCTCCTTAAGGAAAGGGAGCTGGTGGCAAGACACTTTTTCAGGGGACCTCACCTTTAGAATGCAGTCCTTTAAACCAAAGCAACTCAACGGTTAATATTCAGAGCAAATCCGCAAGGTCTATCAATTTACCTAGGCTTCTGGCCAACCCAGGCTATTCTAAAAGTTCACGCTGGAGGGTGTAAATATTTGGATTGAAGATCCCCGATTAGTCATTTTCCAAACTTGTGACATTTTGACTAGATACGGTTCAGGTGCAAGCTTTATATATGTGTGCCTCTATTTTCAAATGGACCTGAACTTTTAAATAAAATTGACTATGGGAAATTCAGAGGAAATTGTAAAGAACTTTTTGCCCAGGGCTTACTCGAATTTGAGGGAAAGCTGTACAATTTTAAAATCAAATGTACTCAAAACAAATGAAAAGATCCAGGTGCCATTTTAATATATTCATCCCTTATAACTAATAAATAGGCTTTTAAAATGTTATTGGCTTTGCTGCACTGGAATCTTTTCACTAGTCTGCCATCTTTCACTGTCCCACTGAACTCAACCACTCTCTCCTGCATATTGTTTATCCTTCTGTGACCTTACACTGAAAAAAACCACACATTTTATGGAACATTTCATTTTATATATTCAGACATTGCAACCTTAATTTTGTGAAATATCCTTTGAATGATTCCTACCACACCAAATAAGCAATTTATTTAGATCAGGGTGGGCAAAATGCGACCTGCCAGGACATTCCATCCGGCCCACAGGGCCCATAAAAAATTTAGAAAATTAATATTAATCTGCCCCTGGCTGCCTGTCATGTGACCCTCGATGGCTTGCCAAAACTCAGTAAGCGGCCCTCTGCCCAAAATAATTGCCCACCCCTGATTTAGATGTTTTGCCAAAAAAAGGCAATTAAACAATGGATAAATTGAATAGTTCAAATCTGTCTCTGACATGGAAGTGAGCAGCTAGAGCACTCTTCAAAAGGCCAAATAATAAGAGTCAGTACAAGGTGTGCCAAAAGAGTGCCCTGCAGCAGCAGCTGCCTCTCAAGAATCAAGCAGGCGTTTGGAGCTGAGCGTGGACATAAACCAAAGGTGCGGGCAGTAGAACCCACTTGTAACTAAAGAAATACAAAGGCAGCAAGCATTTTTATCTTGTCTATTTGTATATTATATTGCAGTACAAGGACTCCGAATAAGAGCTCAGAGTTAAAAAAGATGTAATAAATGTAACAAGTCATATAGAGGGTAACAGACTCATTTTTTTCTTCATGCTTTTTAAAAAGCAATAGAGCTAATGTAAAGGGTTGAAGGAATAACAGAGCAAAAAGAATAAGGAATTATTTTGGAATTTAAACTATATTTCTGAAAAATAATGACTACCTACCAAGTGAGGTATGAAGAACCAAAGATGCTGAGTCCTATTATTCCCTTCAATTTATGTGGATACTTATGTGGACAGCTAACCAGTTCTATAAGTAGTAGTGGCAATATAGTGGTATGCTGAAAATTAAATCCAAATACAACAGTTTGATCTAGAAATAGCAAATTAAAACAACAGATGTCCAAACAAATTATGCGAGTGTGAGACAGCACAGATACACAGTTGGTGAAAACTTGAAAAGAGCAAAAAATATTTCACTAGTTAGAGAAGACTATGAAACACTTATTTGTGACATATTCCACCCTTCATCAATATACTCTACTTTGTAAAAGGTGTAGCCAACTCTCCAGAAATCAAAGGCAACATAAAGATGAAATAAAAAGCAAATGATTTTTTCAGCAAAGTTAAGATGCCCACTGTTGATTCAGGGTAAGAGTGACTGGATCCACACTCGTTAAGGTCCATGGCACAAGATGGACAATATTCAGTGAACATTCAAGAGCATTCAGATATGGAACTAAGGCACAAAAAGCCTTGTCTCCATAACTTTTTCCACTATTACATTCATGAATCTCCATAAGTTATAGTGATGATAGTTACAGAATATTCACATGGCCAGTAGCTTTCTCACAATCCTTACATCTACAAGTAATACAGTCCTGAATACCACGACATAAAGAAAATATTTATCCACTAACTTACCAAGTTACTTCTTCATGCATAAACATAACAGGACTACACGTATGTACCTAAGGATAAACTCAATGATCCTAAGAGAAAATAATTAATATACTTACCATAGTATGATTAAGCCAAGATGGATTAACCTCATCCAACTCTTTTGGGTATACAAGTTCTCTGTCATATGCATAGAGGGTCCAAAATGTTATGGCTACAAACTAAAAAAATCAATTACATGTAAATCAAGAGTACTGTATTGTTCTGACTTTATATCTACCTTTTTCCTCTCTGAGAAAGGCATAAAACCTGCATTTAATTTTTATGCAGAGCCAGCCAACCTATAATCAGGCCTCTGCGATCTTGACTTCTGCACTCAGAATGCATTTGTGCATGCAAGAAAAATACTAAGAATTTTTTTCAGTGCAGTTTTTATTTTAGTACTTTTACTACATTAAGCCATTTGGGTCCTTTTCTTGGCTACCTGATTCTCTTGTGGGAGTCTGTAAGGGCAACAGCAGTTCAAGGACTTAATCTGTAGATATTAATTATGTTCAGAGAAAAAGCATTTCTCTTCCTACAACTAAACCTGAAAATGTGGGGTCAACCTACAGACAGGGTCAGATGAACATGGAAAACCACTGACATAGACCATTTTGAAAAATATAAAACATTGGGTGCTAATAATTATCTATTTGGAGGTAGATTATTTTAAAAAGAAAAAGTGGGCGTTAAGACTATACTTTTTAAAAATTAAATTCAGAGGACATCATCATTTCACTGAAGAACTAGTGAATAATCTTCAAATCTTCATCAAGCCGGCTCCCACTAAGGTCAATAGGAATTTTGTGAATGGTGTAATTGAGTACAGGATGGAGGTGGGCAATTTGGGCTGCGTTTTGATTAGCATTTATGGGAGTGAAAGACATGAACATGAAACAATAAAGAAAAATTAAATTACTTGCTGGTGTGAACTCAGAGTGTGGAAGGGTCTGTTTGGGATATAAAAATACAGTGCAATTAAATAACAGTTTAAAACATAAACCCAAAGATTGGCAGAATAAGACAAGTACAGGAGCTACAGCAGCAAGTTATCCCATGCTTTATTAAATATATAAGCTCTTTGTAAACTATTTTCTAAAATGTAGGTATTTCTCCAAATCTTCATTTTCTACAAGATGCAAGAAAACACCAGGCCTTGTGGACAAAGGACATTCAGTTAAGTAAAAACCCATTGCATGGGCATTATTTTGCAGCTATCAGATACAAAATGAAATAATCCAGGGAACAGGAACTAGATCCCAGGTGCCATCCCATGTGTATCCAGCTACCCTAACAACGAGGTAACAGTTGCATTCCCTTGTTTGCCCTCTTTCTGGACCAATGGTTCCTGCACTCTTAGTCTCACGCTGGTCGAGCTTCAAGAGGCACGTGCCTACCACACAGTCTGTAGGGCATTAAGGCATCTCCTAGGAAACTGCAGCCACGGGTTTAAACCCCTGGATGCTGCACCCGTGGGCTAGATCCCCAGCCCCTACCCACCTTGGAGAATGTGTCTGCAAGGTGGATATACAAGGTGGATAGTACCAGCAACACTCGGTTTTAATCCAAGTGGCCACAGTCACCCTGCTTGTCCATGCCTTGATGACTGGATCACGCCTCTGGAGGCTTAGGCAAAGCTGAGATGCTGCTCCTGCTCGTGTCAGGATTGTGTGATGACCAGGGTGCTTCAGCATATGCACAGAAGCCTAAGTTTTGGCATCCAGGGCAGTCAGAGACGTGGGGCGGAAAATTTTCCAAAACAGAAAATTTTCCAGTGCTTAATTTTTCCGTGGGAAATTTTTTATTTCTAAAAATTCATTGTTTCATAAAATTCATTAGTAACAATGAATGGATACCAATACAACATTAGGCAAGCTTGGCAGTTTCGAAGTTTAATTAATGTTTCTCAGGTGATTATCCCTAGGAAGTGTGTGAGAGAGTATATATATATGTTTTATTGATTTGTAAACAGGAAGATAAATACACGCACATAATAACCCAAACCAAAAATCAAGTTATGAATTCACCTTACTGGCTGTGCAGGACAAATCAAAACCAAAGCACAGTTCATATCGTGCACAGTTCTCTGGGTGTGCTAAAATTAGTGTCTCAACAGTTTTCAGTGCCTTCGTTTTTTTTTCTTAAACGTCAACAAGCAACGTAAGGGAAGTACATGCTATTGTGTATTGTCTTTACATTTTTACAAGTTTTCCAATAAAAATAATTTATTTCCACATACAGCTTTGAATTTGTTTGAATATAACATTTAAACCACATTAAGTGGGCCGTATTTAATTTTTTTCCTAATCAAATATTTCAGTTCAAATACTTGTGGCTATTGGGACATAAAACTAACGGGGTACTTTTTTAGCTGTGTTTACGAAATAGAAGTCAAATAAACATGCTAAAATCAGATCACGCTCTATTTAGGGCACTGGGAAATTTTCCGTAAATTTTTCCAATTCAACATTTTCCAGCAAACCCACATCTCTGAGGGAAATTTCACAACAAGAACTTAGATGAGGCAAAATGGGCAGCGGATTCCTGGATCTTGAAGTTTAGATGCAAACTCCCACCTGAGGCTCCTTTCTGGATCTCATCCCTCAAATACATCAAACCCACCACGTGGCCGACGTGTGGTCTGGCAGCTCAACCCAGACTGGGCCTGCGAGGCCTGACGTACCAAAGACCCCGATGGAGCTCAGGGACGACTGGCACTTACCAGCCGCTTTCCACGATGCCCAAAGAGCAAAGGGGCAGCAGCGCTTGCAGTGGGGCCAGACAGGCCCCTCTCCTGGGGTCCGACCCAGCAAGGCGGTGCCACAGGCATCGCGGCCTTTGCCTGGGCCACTTCTGCCAGCCAGTCCTTCCCCAAGTTACTGGAGCGGGCCCCGACTGGGCCGAGCAACCACCTACCAGGCCAACGGGAAAGACCAGCACGGAGAAGATGAAGTCCTTCAGGGGCAGTAGCCGGGAGATGCTCCTCTGCCGGGTCGGCAGGAACATGTGCACTGCATCGATGAGCGTGCACAGCCCAAACAGCACCGTCTGCAGGATCTGCAGGACACGCGTGTCACAGCCCGCTCCCCTCCCCTCC